TTGCGCGAACAAACCCCCGTCCCGGACATAAGGATTTAGGTCCGCGAGCAAACCGGTCAGCGGGACAAGGTCGAGACTGCAAGTTGCAAGACCGAATCTACAACCAAACTAGGCCACCTTAGGCAATCCATTAGGTCTTGCAACCCTAATCAACGCCTCAAAGATATCCCTAATGTGGCAAGCCGGAGGGTCAGCCTCCACTGGATGCCCCTCCTGGGCATCGCAGCACTTTAATAAGTCCTGTACTGGACAGAAGTCCGACGACCTCTTTCAAACACCATCTGTGCCCCTATGATTAGTTCCGCAATCCGACCGGATCAGCTCTGCAAACAGTGACGCGACACGAAGCGGCCTCGAGCGGCCTCCTAAGCTTCAGTGCAGAGAGCACCCACAAATTCCACATGAACGTCGTCTGTGGAGAGCCGAACGAAACGCACAGATAGTCCCTAGTATGAATTTTCAACAAGTAGGCCTAGCCAGGCCACCCACCATATTATCATTTACTAAAATAGTGCGGCAGCTGATTTCAATCTGATAATCTCCAAACTAGCTAGCCTGTTAGACAAGTAGTCCTATGCTCATATTTCAACTAATTTTTCAAAAGCATCAATGTTCAACTACAGAATTAATTCAACCAAATTAATCACCGATGCGCATAGGTCAACTTGCAAATTAAACAAAACAATAACGTAAGGGACAGCCCTACTTCTTAGAAAACAAAAATGATTAAACACTATCATAAACATAAACATAATTTTTCAAATAGTGCGCCATTCCATTTCAGATGAATTCAAATTTTCCTTTCAGCAAACAAACGCAACAATCAAATACAGTGATTAAATATATGTACAAAACACATGCAGTAGCATTTAAAGGAGTAGATTAAATTCAATTCTTTTAATTTAAACCGCTACAAATAGGAGAATTTCGCGGAAAGCCCAAAGCAATTTTTAATTTTAATTCAAGTATTTTTTTTTGACTAAGTGCTCGACCAAACCAAATCTAATACCCCTTGACAGCGTGATTCAACGCTACAGGGGGGCCCTAATCTTCCCACCACCAAGGGGAGGCCACATGGCGTGAACCCGAGATAAATAGAGCACAACCTTTAACAGTTGCCACTCGGGTTGTACGCCTTCACTGAGGCCGTCGGCAACAGAACATTTTGACAAGTGGACTGTTGACGGCTTAAGGCTCAGTGGAGGCGGCCGTGGTGGGAACTAAGGCAGCAGTTAGACAGGGCCGCCTCCATCAAATGGGGAACAGTGGTACACCAGTCGCGGCCACTCAGCTAACGGAAGTGAGAAGGGTCCAGCGGACCGATGAGTGGCCGTGAAGTTCCTCTCCACACGCTGAGGGGGGGTGATGACACCCCCGCCCCTGGGGGAATTACCCCCCGACTGGTCGGGGGAGGGACTCCTTTCAAACTTAGGGGCCTGGTGGCTGGACGGCGGGCGCCGAGAGTCACCCTGCAGAGGGCGTGGCTGAGCGCCCCCGCCCGTGGGGGTCGAGGGCCTGGCAGAGCCCCGAGAGGAGATGCCGTTCGCACCCAGGCACAAAACGGCATGGTGATTGCCCTGGCAATGCAGACAGGGCCGTCGATGCGGACAGTCTCGCTGGAGGTGCCCTCCCAGACATGACCAGCACCAGTGGCGCTCCTTGGCGATAGTTCGCCTCGCTGGAACCGGCTTACCTAATAATTTCGGGCACGACGTTACCCGGTGATCAGATGCTCGACAATAGGAGCAGGGGGGGGTTGACGACGACTTGCCTGGCGGGTTCAGCCTCTCACTGGGCACGTCTCGCAAGTCGTCAACGGTGCCCGCCGCGTTCTCGATCTGCCGGCACTGCTCCTCCAAAAACCGCAGCAGGTCATAGAAGGGCGGAATATAGGAGGCCTCGTCCCCGCCGTACCTCTCCTCAAAATGGATTCGCAGGTCGAGAGGTAGACGGGACAGCACGATGCGGAGCAACAAAAAAGCCCATTCGCCCACTGGTAAACCCAGCCGCCTCAAAGTATTACAGGCCACCAAGACTGGATCCAACAGGTCCGGACGCAGTCTGGCCCGGTCACTAAGCAGCGGGAGGCTTAGAAGCTGCTTAACCTGTTCGTCCGCAATTCGCCGGACGTTGGCGTATCTTATGGCTAGGAGGTCCCGAGCAGTCTGGTAGGCGTCGTCCGACAATCTCAAGTGGCCGACGACGCCCAGGGCCTCCCCCTCCAGTGAGGCCAGGAGGTACACCATCTTTTGGCTCGGGGTCAAGTCACTCCGGGAGTCCACTAGGCTGTCGAAAAGACCAACGAAGGTCAGCCATTCGGAAAGGACCCCGGAGAACTTTGGCAGGTCCAGAGTTGGGAGTCGTCCCAACAGCTCCGGCTGAAGCCGCTTCAGAGAGGACTCGGACAAGTCACTCATCCGAGCTTCACGAGCCTTTCAGCCTCGATCAACTCGTCCGTGAGCCACAAGAACTGCTCATAGTCCGCGAAGCAGGAGTCCAGGACTCCCTTCTCCACATCCGAATCCTCGAGTTCAGCGTAAGCCTCCTCCACTGCGGCCCTTCGAGCATCCACCTGCTCGAACTGCTTCATCAAGTTATGGACCCTATCCGGTCGACCTATCAAAGCATGGGCGCTTGTGGCCCAGCGTAGCTCAGTCCGCAAACAACGGATCAGTAGCTTGGGCGATGTCATCACTATTAAATGCAAATTACGACGCGGCTTGAGCACAGTTTACAAAGATAACAAATAAAAAATACAACAAAAAATTAACAGTTAATAAATGCAGTTCCTATCAAATCGCGTTGAATAGAAATTACACAAATACGAACTACTTGCTACGTATCAACCAAATACAAGTTAGCACAAAAAAGACACAAATCAAATTAACAAATAACAAATACTAGTGCGATCGAATCAAGTTAAATTCAAATTGCGCAAATACAAACTACTACTATTTAGTTCAAATACAACTTACAGTATAAACGAAGATACACATCACGGTCGATCAACAAAAAATGCCTAGCTCGGAAATCGAACCTTCGACAAGCAATCCACTACAACTCTCCGACAACGATAATTAACCGATTACGTAAAAATAACCATCTACCTACATGACGTATATCTCTAGAAAATCTCCCGCTTGCACAACCTAGGGCGCGGCTTTTCAAATTACCCTCTAACCAAAAAAAAGGCAAGCAACAAAGCAACAAAGGAAAATAATTCTATTATTACGTACAAAAAAAAATATTTTTACGTATTACGGACGGGCGTGATTGTAGATGCAAATTAAACCAATCACACCAACGCTCCCTGCCACCAAAATTGTTTAATGTTTATCAAACACTATAGTCGGGATCGACCGGGAATCGAACCCGGAACCACGCTCTGCTACCAAATGTTACGGCCTACGGTTGCTCCCTTAAAGGATCCAATCCCCCGGGGCCCATCAGCAGAAGACTTCCCGAGCAAACGTAGGTCGGGCCTCCTAAGGCCACGTGGAATCTCTCTAATTACACTAAAATATATGGGGGAGCGTTATACTACGGCCAGTCGACCGGAAGGAATTTGGCGGAGTTCACTTACCTCGATCCAAGACGACTGGTCCCTCCGGAGTCGGTCAGGTCGCATGTAGTTGTGTAGTGCAAGGGAAAGAATGGTGATGTGGTGTGTATCTGGGTGTGACTGATGGTGATTAAACCTGGACCTTAGCCGTCGGCAGCAGCCCGAGCGTCGACACCGCTCCAATTTGAGGGGGCCTTTCGAGGTTATCCACAGTCACTTTCTTGGTTCACCACGATGACAGTCACTTAACTCTATCGTACGATTAACTAGCTTACAGAAGCCACTAACTATCGCGGGGTATAAGGTTACCGCACAAACACGCCCGGAGTTTCTAGGTCAAAGGTCACTACCGTTTCGCGTGGCAACAGTTCTAAATACCGAGGCCGCACTAGCTTATATTGTCGAATGCACTTATACAGATTCTGAGTCGGACCCAATAAGTCCCGGGAAAGGCTATCCAAACAGGGAATGCGCGTTATAATTCCTAGACAGGATATTTACTAGACGCCCTAACTATTCCGCGGTTCCCGCACAAAATTAACAGCGTGCAAACATTAGCACATCTGGCAGATGATTGATCCGCTTGCGACCCGCGCGCCACTGTGACGCTCGGAAGAACTTCAGACCGGAATCGCGCCGAGCCGAGTGACATCTGGTGTCGATTCCGACAACAGAGTTTTGCGCGAACAGTTTGATACAAATAGAAAATAAACTGTTGCAATTAAATGATAAAAGCCTAAGTCATTTTGGATTACCTTCTTCAGTTCGTACAGAAAACAATGCTACAGATACAATGGCACATCTTTATAACACAAATGATTTGACCGCTTTTGTCAATGAAAACCTGCCAAAATTAGTCCTAGATCAAAGACATGCTTTTGAGACTATAGTCGATAGCGTGAATAATGACAAAGGAAAAACATTTTTTTTTTTGGATGCGCCAGGTGGCACTGGAAAGACGTTTCTGGCAAATTTGATATTTGCTAAAATACGACAATCGGGGAAGATAGCGATAGCAGTTGCTTTGTCAGCAATTGCTGCAACTCTCTTAAAGGATGGAAAAACTGCTCACTCTACTTTTAAGCTTCCGCTATCCGCTCTTGAGCAACAATCTACATGTTCTATCCGCAAAAATGGGCCTCTTGGTAAATCACTACAAGACGCCTCATTGATTATGTGGGATGAATGCACCATGAGCCATAGAGCACATATAGAGACAGATAGAGAGACATAGACAGACAGAGAGACTGTAGACAGAACCTTAAAAGATCTTAGAAACTCTTCTGCTCTCATGGGCGGGATTACTTTTGTACTTGCTGGAGATTTCCGACAGACACTTCCCGTCATTAATAGAGGTACGCGAGCAGATATCATCAAAGCATGCTTGAAATCGTCTACCTTATGGACTTAGATTGCAAATTTAAAATTACGGACGAATATGAGAGCTCATATTCATGGAATCACAGATAGTGATTTCCCACAACAACTGATAAAACTTGGGGAAGGAATTTTTCTCACTCCGAATTTAAGCAGAAATTGTGACGTCCTTCTAAATGAGTCTCTAGGTCAAATAGTCCATGATTTAGAAATTTTAATAGATGCAGTATACCCTGACATCGAGAATTTGCACGAAAAGGACTTTTATTGGCTGTGTTCTAGAGCAATAGTGTCGCCTAGGAATGATACTGTCGACGAAATAAACAATCTAATTATTCAAAAAGTCACCGGCCAAATAAAAAATTACAAATCGATCGACACCGTGACTAATATCGAAGACGCAGGCCATTACCCACAGGAATTTTTAAATTCACTAAACCCTTCTGGACTGCCACCACACGAATTGACGTTAAAAATCGAAACGCCAATCATGCTTCTGAGAAATTTAAGCCCCCCAAGCATGTGCAATGGGACGAGGCTGCTTATTAAGGAATTGAAGGACAATTTAATTGTAGCGACCATTATCACCGGCCCATCAGTTAGTCAACTAACTCATATATCGAGAATACCGATGATCCCAACTGATCTGCCAATCCCATTTAAACGTCTTCAATTTCCGGTAAAATCATCTTTCGCGTTAACTATTAACAAGTCCCAAGGTCAAACTTTCGAATTAGTAGGGATCGACCTACGAAAAGAGTGTTTTACTCACGGCCAATTGTATATAGGCCTATCGCCGGTCGGAGCTCCTAAAAATCAATTTATTTTACTGCCACAAAATAAAACAACATCAAATATCGTTTATAGGGAAGCTCTGACCCAATAAATTTAATGACTTATTTTTTGTTGATATTATATTTTTACAAATATTAGAAATAAAAATAAAAAATCAAATATTTAAAAAAAAAAACAAAAAAAAATAAAAAATATGCGGAATAAAGAGGAAAGATGTTTTTGTTAGTTTGTTTGTACCATATAACCTCCAAAACTACTGGACCGATTTTAATCAATTTTTACCAATAGAAAGTTAAATTATGGGGGGGGGGGGGTAAGGGAGAGTGGATAAAATTTAACTTTTCTGTATAACGTGTATATGCCGATAGATAAAAGTACGCCATTAATTTTGCTAATTTGTTAGCTAAAATGATTGAACTAAATGAGCGAGGTGTCATGTCATGTCGCGCGGCAGAGACGCGTGATATACGCGGGTGAAACCGCGGGTCACAGCTAGTTATTATTATTACGCTTCATAAATCTGTCGATTTTATTCTCTTTCTTTCAGTTGGTTAACGAGGACAGTGGTTATAAATTTTATTGTAATTTCCAAAGTATTTGCTACATTTTTTCATTGTTAGAACAATAATTTACGTGATAAAGCCTTCTTTAAGCGAAGGAAAATTTACAAGTCAGGCAGATAGGCTGCTCGTTTACAAAAATCTTCAAATGTGGAAAATTTTAGTTTTAATATAATCCTAAAAGTCGCTTAAAACCGGTCTGTAGATATAGCAAACGAAATAATAAAAGTTCCTTGTTCGATTACGGAATCCGAAATTATAAACAAAATACACAGCGTTTCCTTTAAGACAACAATTATATCTTGTGTTATATCAGGGGCTTTTCCTATTATAAATTAAGAAAACCTTAAGTCCTAATTTATTTTAATCTACATCTGTAAGACGTAATAATTTTCAGCTTGATATAGAATTAAAATAAAAAGAATCCAATCCCAGGCTACGTAAATATTTTATGAAGACGTATTCCTAAATTTCACGCAGGTACATTTTCACTAAGAGAAAGTAATTTCTTCAATTAAATTCATCGTCTATTTTTATACGAAACTGAAACTTATACCTATTAATTTGGAGATTTTTTTCTAGTTAAATGTACAGAGTAGCCAGTCTCTCGGTATTCTATAGGATGCATTTCGGTGAGTGTGCGCAGGAATTACACGCTTTAATTCCTCCCTCACCTTTCCACCATCGGACAACCAGACGGTCGGCGGGTCTTCATCCCTTTGTTGTCGATATTCCACGCATTAGAACCAAACGGTTTGCTTCGTCTTTTATAATGCGTACAGCAAAGGAGTGGAATAATTTGCCGGCGTCTATCTTTCCGTCCGAATACAATCTGGGCGTCTTCAAGGCAAGAGTGAATAGGCTTTTGTTACAATAAGACAGTGCGATTTAGCATCTAAGGCTATATCAGCACTTACCAACAGGTGGGATTGTGGTCAAGCACTGGCTTATAATAAGTAAAAAAAAAAAACTATGGTAAGGCTAAATAAGACGAATAGTTTTTCTCTCTTATAATATATTTTCATACATTATCTAATCTATTATTTAAAAATTAATGTTTTTTTGTTCGTATTTTATGCGCACCATTACCGTTCATCAGATTCCGGTAAAACTTTATGAACTTATTACTTGCACTTGAACTTATTACTTGGGCTGCTGCCGAGCCCGAGGTGGTCGCGGCCATGTGCCTAGTTGCAAAAGACCAATTTTCCCCAACATCTAGCGACCACCAGTGCAACAGCAATCGGCAAAATGCTGATCGCCAGCCTCTGTAGACGGGTGATTGGGGACTAGTGGCCTCTCTCGTGGCATCCATAATGATTAGTGAATACGTTCACTAAGACGATGGTATGATGATCGGCGGAAATAGCGCGCGTATCGTACCGACAAATTTATTTTAAAGCTATATATTCTTCAACTTCAATAAGTATAGAAATAAATTGGAAATTGGATAATGTACCACTAAATAAGATAGGTAACATACATTATGAAATTTAGTGCATTCAAATAAACAAATAAATGTTGTTTTTTTATTGATTTTACATCATCGCCATATTATTATTTATTTTATCAATTTATAACCTACATTCAGTAAGAGAAAAATTAAAAGAAATATCTTAATTTTGGCCTCGCAATATATTTACAAAAATACTAATGTCAACGTTCTTTTTAAAGGTCTTATTAAGCCCTTATTGGGCCTTCCAAGGGGTTCCTCTTTGTTCACCGCGGTTAACCAAGTCACGGCTACTAAGCCCCACAACAAGGCAGGAACCCGTTGGGGTGGGGGGGGAGGATTACAGGCACCTACATCTATCTTTAATTAAGAATCAAAATACAGGAGCGTTGTCACCCGTAAGTACTAAAATAGTCTCCGGTTCTCTACACTCACCATACGAATGCAATGCCATTCTGTGATAGCATGGTCCTTCACCGGTCGAGCCGATACATTCGTGCTACAACTATAAAGTTGCAACGTGGCTCTACCACATGTAAATTACCTACAAATACCTAGTAATAGTACTATGCAATCCACTAGAGTTGGTCACGATGCTTAATTGCAATTTTGCATTGACAGGAGAGCGTGGCCTTTTTCATGCTCATTCAAAACAGTCTTGGTTTTCTAAAGCACCGATATCGACATATAAAAACAAATATTTTGATCAATATGGGGTTTTTACTTTTTAGAAATTAAATGCCCCAACTTCATTTATATTTATAAAGACACACACTCCAGCATGCTGACAAGGATTGCAGTACCGAATAATTTAAAATTAAAAATTTTGTACAGCCGACTTCAATATAAGTTATTTAAGAATAACTCAATAACCATTGGTCTGACCTTGATCAAATTCATATGGGACCACATGAGAACTATCAGCTTTCATATAAAAAAAGAATCATCGAAATCGGTTCCCCCAGTACAAAGTTATGAGGTAACACACATAAAAAAACACACTCGAATTGAGTACCGTCTCCTTTTTGGAAGTCGGCAGAAAAAAACAAGGCTTACAATACAGTTTTATAAATTTCAAACGTCGCACTGGGATCAACGTCTGTTCAGTTTTAAAATCCACAACAATTTTTATTTCATCAATAAAGATTGTATGAATCTTTGGAATATACAGAAGTTTATTACATTCATTCCAATGTAATTCAAAACTGGCGCTTCGCTATGGTGGTATATGTATATGTGTATATTATGTGACAATATATTAACTACATAAGCAAATGTATTATTTACCATTGTTGAAAATAAACTGTTTCCCGAAATACCCGTTTATTATTCTTGTCCTGATATATGTATTATATCTAATTATAAATATATGACTTATGTAACATATTTTAAATAATAAAGTAGACCTGTGCTTTGCTGCGGAAGCAAGGCAAACATGGCATACAAGGAAACTGTTCCACTGGAAGTCAACCAATAAAACCTGTGGGTTATTCCGTTGGTACGGAGTGTGCAGAAAGATTTGTTTCACAATTTCCACAGTGACCAAGATCAGGCCCGCTTTCTAGTTGTTTTGACTAAGGAATCTCGTCACTGGTTACATGCTTTACCATCAAGTAATCTCGGCACATTTCTTGATGGCGACAGCTTACGCTTCGCCGTAGGTATCCATCTAGGAGCAGCAATTTGTCAACCTTACTAGTGCTCCTATGCTCCACGGACTTTCATGTAAGAAAAGTGCAGGTAGGTTTTCCCGCCACCGTTTTTTGAACAAAGTCATCCAAAGAGCTTTTGCCTCTATAAATATTCCCTCGGTTTTAGAACCTTGTGGAAGTCTATCCAAAGGGGAGACTCTCCTTCTTAGGTGTGAGAGTCTATGTTTTTATGTGTTTTATTTATTTAGTTATTATTCCTTGTATCTTTTTAACAGCATTAAATATAAGTAGTAACAGTTCTTCAGATTGTAAGTAGCAACTTCAACCAATGCACAACAGCACCACCACTTAATTTAAAACGACAAAGGCCAAAGACACGATAACACATATGAGGACATCTACACTGAAACACAGTTTCATAATTTAGATAACTTGGTTGATCAGCATCCCTCTTTCTCTTATTTCTTTTCTTTTGTGGGCGGTGAGCGAAGGATTAAAGATCACTTAAATTGGTTAACGGAAACATTCTTATTATTCTGTAATTAGAATAACTATAAAATATTTCAATCAATCTTCTAACGAATTTTCTTTAGATTTTAAAAGAAATATTAGAAATATTGGGTATCCATTCATATCCCATACCTTTAGTATCGAATAGAAATTTAAATTAAAAAAAGTTACAAAGTGAGCTGCAAAAATAATATGAAATTATTCACCTGCATTATCTAAATTCTCTACTTCTAAACTCTACACTCTAAATTCTAAACTCTACTTCATCATAATTATAATCATTATGACGACAGTCCTTCACAAGTCCACTGCTGAACATATGCCTCCCCAAGTAATGCATCTTATAACAGGTAAGGGCAAGAACAGTAAAATATTTTTAACATATTATTATTATGCGTACCATACCATATCAATGATACTCGTAAATTGCAAAACCATGTATCGTTTTTAATGAAAATTAAAGTATTACAAGCACGGATGGCTGACATTTAATCAACATAAGGTCAGAGGTTTTAGGCTTCACTCCAGTGATATTTAATAAATATAATTGATTTCCTTTAAAACGTTTGTCCCGTGGGTGTTGTAAGGGACTGAAAAAAAGCAGGAGGACCTCATGATATAATGGTTGCAAAATTCACAGATTTTGAAACAGAAACTCGGAAATCGGTCTGTAGTTCTTCAAGAGAGCGTAGTCACCTTTCTTGAAGAACAAGACCACCGCACTTCTGCTCCACGCCTCCGGTGTAATGCCACCACGGAGGACGGAATTAAAGAGCTTCTGAAGGACTTCAAGTACCGGTTTTCCACCCGCTTTCAGAAGCTCCGATGTAATTCCATCCTGGCCTGGGGCCTTGCCGATTTTAAAGTGCTGTAGAGCCATTCTAATCTCGCTCAGATTAATGTTAGGGATATCATC